CAGGAGCCGCTCTGGGTGAGGGAGATGGAGATGAGGTCCAGGATCAGCTCTGCAGGGAGATGGGAGACAAGGTCCAGGATCAGCCCTGACCAGGGAGATGGAGACGAGGTCCAGGATCAGCCCTGGCCAGGGAGATGGAGACGAGGTCCAGGATCAGCTCTGGATCAGGGAGATGGAGACGAGGTCCAGGATCAGCTCTGGATCAGGGAGATGGAGATGAGGTCCAGGAGCAGCTCTAGATCAGGGAGATGGAGATGAGGTCCAGGAGCAGCTCTGGATCAGGGAGATGGAGATGAGGTCCAGGAGCAGCTCTGGGTCAGGGAGATGGAGACGAGGTCCAGGATCAGCCCTGTCCAGGGAGATGGAGACGAGGTCTAGGAGCAGCTCTGCTCTTGAGCAAACCTCAGGCTCTGTAGGCAAAGCTTGTACAAACAATTCTGCAAATGCTGGCGAGGGTCCTGAATCTAGGCAGGACACGTCCAAAGGCCGCCTTTTGCTGGATGTGGGTGGACTCCAGGTGAGAAGGAGGAGGGCATTTTTATGAGGGAGTTGTGCACAGATCCCGCTGGTTTCTAGAGAAGGTTGATGGGAGTCTAAGTGGGAGCTGCTCTTTGTTCCTTCCCTGTAAGCCCTGTTGCCTACCTGCCAGTCTGGGAGCAGGGAAGAGGAGCTGGATCCAGGGCTTGGCTGTGTCTTAGCTGCTGCACGTGCCTTGTTCCCATCTATGGATCGCGCCATCATCTTCCCTCGAGGAACACCGTCAGGGGTGAAAATCAGGGAAAAGGTTGAGAGAATTCCAGGCTGAGGCTGTGGGGCTGCTGGTCCAGAGATGGCATGGACGCCTGTTCCGGAGCCATGGGGGAGGTCCGGGGGAAGGGCAGGAGATGGGGAGCAGCCGTGCCGGGATGGAGGTGCCTGGCACTCGCCTGCAGTCACGGAGCTGCAGAGACGGAGCTAGAGAGCGGGGCTTCTGGCCGCATCGGCCTCAGGAGCTTCTCACTGCCAGGGAGGCCTGGGGTCTGGGGCACAGCAGCATCGGAGAGGCCGCACTGCCCACTTCCGGTGGAGCGGAGAGGCCGTGGGGCTTGGCGAGGAGAGAGGGAAGGAGCAGCGGCATGACGGAGGACCACAGGGAGTAAGGACACTCCAAAGGCGGCCCCTTGCTCCGGGGTTGGGAGGGGAAGAGGCGCCAGTCTCCAGAGGTGAAAGCGTCATTTGCGGTGCTGGGCTCAAACTCGGGGCTCACGCGAGCCAGGCGCGGACTCGACCACGGACCTGCCCCTCGTCCCCAGAGCCCCAAGAATGCTAAAGGTCAGAGTCTCCATCTGTTTCTTGGAGATAAAGCATCTTGAGTGCACGTTGGTTTTTCCCATAAAACGAGAACAGGGGCATGGTCGAAGGCTCTGCCGACGCCTCTGTGTTTCTCCGGCATCGCCGGGGCTCCGGCATGGCCGTGTGCCGGACGCCTTGCTGCCTGGGCAGAGGAGGACCAGGCCACAGATGAGACCCGTGGCCTCTGGCATCCGTGCGGTCCTGCAGGATGCACAGGGGAGACTTTTCTCTCCCCAAAGCTTTCTGTCAGACACTAAAACTGCTGAGCTGAGAGGAGCAGAATGCTGGGGCAGGTGCAGAGGTGGCGTGGCGACCGGGGCTTCGGGAGCCTGCGGTGGGCCCCCCGGCCACGGAGCCCTGGGGAGCAGAGTGGGAGCTGGCCCCAGAGTTAATGGATGCAGGTGTCCCACAGGCCTCCTCAGAATGACGGACTGACGGCGCAGCCATTTGTGCAGCCGGGGAGGGGGAGATGGAGTGAAGCTGGGGGGCAGTGTGCATTCTCGGCATCCACAGCACTCACGGCCCCTCCCCGGCGGGTGGCGGGGAAGGGTGTCCCTGCAAGAGCCGACGAGTTCCGGCCCCGTGAGGCGTCACGGTGAGCTTAGAGGATGTCTCTGCTGGGCTTTGAGTGGACGCCGCCCGTCCAGCCTCCCGCAGCAACCAGACCCATGCAGGACCGGCCAAGGGCCTGTGGGGCATGGCTTCCGTCTCCGCCGTGGACGGGGCTCCCTGGTCAGACGGAGGCAGGGCTGATCTGCGGGTCGTCTGGGGAGGGAGGGAAGGTGTGGGGGGCATAGCCAGGCCCGGGGATCTGCCCGTGGCAGGGATCCGAGTCCCAGACGCAGGGATCGTACAAACCCCAGGCTGCTGCGGGACCTGGAGGCTTCCAGAGGACTCCTGGGTGGAGAAGATGTGGAGTGTGCTCGGTGTCCCCGGTCTGCGTGTGTGGTCCAGCCGGGATGGCCGCAGCCTTCACCCTGCCAGGCTGGGGAGGGCCCACCTTCACGACGGCCTGGGAGGAGACCGGCTGTCCTGCGGGCACCTCCAGGCCTCTGTGCTTGCAGCGGAAAGCAGGAGCCTAGCAGGAAGTTGTGTGAGCTCAGAAGTGGCCGAGGAGGGGCACGTGCTGTCAGACAGGCAGGCCCATTCCTGGGCTCCCCCTCTGCTGGGGGATGGACGACCGTTGAAGCTATGTGACAGCGTAAAAACAACTCCAGAAGAAGTGCTGCACGTGGCAATCCGGTCTCCCTGTGGTTCTTGAGGGAAATATGAAGAAAACCACACATCCCTGTGGCCCAGCCCGCACGTGGGATGGCTGCCGTGAACGGAAAGTGGGCCGCGGCACGGCAGCTGAGGGGAATGCCCGCCGGTCAAGGCTTCTCCACGCCGGGACCTGCTCCTGGAAACAATCCTCAGAGGGAGGGTGGAAGCTTCCTGAGTTTCCTTCGGGGGGAGGAGGCTCGAGAGACGGGTCTCTCCTTCGGACTCCTTCCAGGAGTCAGCCCTTCCCTCGGCACCCGGGGCGTCCGGCCTCTGCTGCCATGATGCCACAGCTCTCCCAGGTGGGTGAGTGCCAGCGTGGGCTGTCCCAGACCCCTCCTGCCAGGCCTGGTCCAGACAGCAGCAGATCAGGCGAGGCTCTGGGCAGAACCCGCTCTCTCAGGGGCTCCTCCTTCTGGCTCCCCCATTTCCAGATGCCTAATGAATGTGCCTCACAAATCTCAAATGAAAATATCGACGACCAAACCATCACGGATCCCCTGTTACGGCCTAATGTCGGGGTCCCGCAGGAGACAAGCACTTAACAAGATCATTAAGGTCCGACAAGGTCATAAGGCGCCCGGAACCGATACTAACAGAGGCCTCCCATGCAAGTCAGGAGTGAACTTCCCTGGAGCCCCTCCTGCTGGGCCTGGGTCTCCCACCACAGCCCCCAGAGCCCCGAGAGACTGCTGTGCCCCAGGGGCCTTTGCTGGTAAATCGCACAGCCTGGACCTTCTGCTGGGGCGCAAGTCCCTGGCGGCCACTCCCTCCCCGCTTCTTCCTCTGGCGCCCTTGCTTTGCTGTGCAAACCTTTCTCAAGCCTTCCTCCCCCAGGTGCAGTCGCAGTCCCAGAGCCTCAGCAAGGCTGCGGCCCACGTCTGCCTCTCAAAGATGTGCTCCTCCTCCTTCAGCACTGGTCTCTGGTGTCCCGACTCCTCCACACCCAGGGACCAGGGGCCTCAGAGACCCTGGTGCGGGCCCTGCTGTGGCCGCCGCCACCAGGTTACACTCCCCTCCTGAATTAGGAAAACAGAGGCCCTTTGGCCTCTTCTTGAGGCTGGGGAAGCTTTCCTCCAACGCACATTGAGAGCACAGCTGTTTTGAGAGACAGATTTCCATGGAATTCTGTTAAGACCCAGCAATTCCCGAAGTCAAAACGAAGGGGTTCCTCTTAAGATCAGCTCAGGAGACCCCCAGCTTCGGTGTCAAGAGGCAGGGGTTGCTCCGGACGGCCTGAGGCTGGGCTGAGCGGTGGGGACCTGGGATGTGTGGAGGAGTGGCTTCAGGCACAGCAGGCCCGGGGGCTGCGGACATTGCTCTGTTTCTGGTCCCTGCTTGTGCGCCGGGGAGGCGAGGCGCATCTCCGCGTCTGCATCTCCGCTGGGGAGACGTGTGAAGAGGGAAGGGGTGGGCTCCCCACCCGTGGGGGTGGGGGTGGGGGCCCTCCGCGCCTGCAGAGCCAGGTGGCTGTGACACTCCCCTGGGATTGCAGGAGGGCCAGCACCTAGTCAGCCTCTCTGCGGTTCGATCCACACCGGCACACACGGTCCTGCTTTTCCTCCCGGGACTCAGTGGCCAGCGGCCAGGGACTCTGTGCCTGAATGTGACTTGGAGCCTGTGTCTGGCTCTACTGCAGGGCGCCACACTGGACACGGCGTCTGTCTGCGATAGAACGGGGGTCGCTCTGGCTCCCCGTCCCACACAAGTCCTAGTCTACCTCCTTCCCGGCACCTGCTGCCACCCGACCATCATTGGGTTGGGGTGCGGCCACTGCGCCATTCCCTGGACGTCGTGGTCCCCATAGACCTGGGGCCCAAAAGGGGATCGGCTGAGCCCCGGGTGCGGGGCGCCCACAGGGAGCAGCCGCGGAACCTGGCTGAGGTGCAGATGCGTTTCCAGCCTGCATGCAGAGTTTGTTAAGATGTGTCTGAGTCTCTGTCAGCTACTGGGGTGAGGAACAGGACAGGCATTCAAACCTCACAATGCCCAGCGCCATCTTCTCTGCACGCTGGGCTGCCTTTTAGTTGTAGTCAAGATGAATGCTGCCCTCCACAGAGAGCCCCTGGGTGCCGGCGGGCACCTGCAGGCTTAAAATCTGCTTCTTACAGCCGATCCCTTGAAGACACTGCCCAACAGGGTTGGAGGGCTCTGTGGTTTTCAAACACACTGAGAGCTTTGCCATCCTCTCCTAAACATCCCAGGTTTGCTGCAACCTGCGCTGGGTTTCCAGGGGGAGATGCACCAGGGACCCTTTCTACCCAGCACCAGCAAGGCCAGGTCTCCCAGCAGGACTCAGGGCCAGGACCCCCACAGGAAGGACCCTGGCCAGGCTCGGACCCCACCTGCAGTGTCAGGATGACCCCTGTGGTGGGTCAGGATGACCCCTCCCCGCCCCGCACCCTCACCTGCGGTGCGTCAGGAAGGACCCGCTGACGTGCCCAGAGCCGTCGCAGCCCGGGGTGGGGCAGGACATGCCCTCGGTCTTCACGGACTTCCAGGAGAACTGCGAGCCGTTGAGGTACCCGTCCTTCTGCCGCTTGGCGGCCAGCGGGCAGCCGGAGGCGCTGCGGTGGGACGCGTACTTGCCCGTGATGTGGCCCTGCCCGTCACAGCCGGGCACCGGACACCTGTGGGGACACGGACGGACCGCGTTAGCCTCCTGGCCTGACTTCCGGGGCCGAAGGAAGCCAGCTGGTGTGGGAGGAATCGAACCCCTGTCCTCCCAGCCCAGAGAAGAGGAGGACACAGCAGAAAGAGGGCCCAAGGCACCCCCTAGTGGGAACATGAAGTATTACTCCGTGGGGAGAAGGTTCTGGAAGGGGTCTGGCTTTGAGGGGCCCCTGGTGTAGAGGCTGTGAGGGTGGCTGGACAGAGCCAGGGCAGGGAAGGCGTGGGGTGTGGCCAAGGCCAGCCCATGGGTAGAATTACCACCAGAGGGGCCTGCTACACGTGGCCACCAAGAGCTGGAGAGCGCTCTGGAGGACACAATGCCCCAGGGGGCCGCGGGATCATAGGTCCTCCCTGAGGCCCGGGGATGGAGGGGCAGAGGCAGGGGATGAGCTGGGCAGGGGCGGGGCTGGGGTGTCCAGCTGCAGCTGCAAGCTCGCTAGGCAGATTTCCTGGCCCTGGGCAGGGGCTGAGGTGCCGGCTAGGAAGATGACTTCCTTTGTGTCTCTCTTCATGGCTCTGGTGACCTAGCCCACACATTTACCTGCATTTCTTTTCTTTCTCTCTCTCTCTCTCTCTCCTTCTCTTTCTTTCTTTCTTTCTTTCTTTCTTTCTTTCTTTCTCTCTCTCTCTCTTTCTCTTTCTTTCTTTCATCTTGGGGTCTGAACTCTGGGCCTAGGCACTGTCCCTCAGCTCTTCAGCTCAAGGCTAGTGTTCTACCACTTGAGCCACAGCGCCACTTCTGGCTTTTTCTGTGTATGTGGTGCTGAAGAATCGAACCCAGGGCCTCGTGCATGCGAGGCAAGCGCTCTACCGCTGAGCCACCTTCCCAGCCCCTGCTTTTTTCTTTTTGCTTATGTGGTGCTGAGGAATCGAACCCAGGCCCTCAGGCATGCGAGGCGAGCGCTCTACCGCTGAACCACCTTCCCAGCCCTGCATTTCTTTCGATCATCTGTGTTATCATTCCACAGCAACTCGTATTTCCTAGGCATTTTGATACGCTTTAATTTCTCTTACCTCTTAACTTTTAGACTAATATTTGTCTCTAAAGCTATTGAGATGGACATTCCAGGAAGCCCCCCAGCTCTTCTTGTGGGTTTCTGAGACACAGCCACACAGGCTCGGACAGGGCCGGCACTCGCTCGGGGAGGGGGGGGGCCTCCGTGAGTCAGCCTTCATGGGGTGTCATGCTTAGTCCCTCTTTCAAGAGTCTGATGTCCCCAGGAAACCCTGTTGGGGGTGGCAGAGTCTTATGGTTTGGGGTACACAAACACTAGTGGGCAATGTCACTGCTTCTCAGCCCGCCGGCAGGCACCCTCTGCGTTTCCCGGCCTACTAGCCTAGTGAAAGCCCAGTCAGTGCCTGCTGTGGCCTGCCCACTGTGTTTTCTGGGACTTCACCGGGTGCTTCCACATCCCAGCCTCCACGTCCTGGCCTCTACATCCTGGCCTCACTGGCCACATACCTGATGGGCTCCTGGTCTTCCTTGTCTTCTTTGCTCTGTGCTATCCGAATGCCACTTTTCTTGGCCCTCGGGCATCCTGAAAGGCTAAAGGTAAAACATGTTTTAGAAACAGCCCACCTGCAGATTTGGCACCGTCTCCTAGCCTGGCCTGGCTCTAGCTCAAGTTTCTGGGGAGACAGGATGGAGGTCCAGAGAGATGAGTTTCATCTGCTGCTCCTGGAGGCCAGGAGCCTGGGGAGCTGGGTGCCGCACTCAGGGCAAAACAAATGGCCTTGAAACGGGAGCCGTTGGTGGACCACCTCTGTAATCCCAGCCGCTCAGAAGGCTGAGGTCTGAGAACCATGGAACCGGCCTGGACAGACAAACACACAAGACTCATGTCCAGGTAAGCAGCAAAAAGCTGGAAGTGAAGATGTGGCTCAAGTGTTAGTGTGAGCCTTGAGTGAAAAAGCCAAGAGGGAGAGCAAAGAAGTTGGTGAGCTGAGACTGGCCAGAAAAGATGTCAGGAGAATGGTTCCCCAGGGAGACAGGGGAGGAGGCGGAGCCAGAGCACAGCCCCAGGACTGGGAGGGGGCGGAGCCAGAGTACAGCCCCAGGACTGGGAGGGGGCGGAGCCAGAGTACAGCCCCAGGACTGGGAGGGGCGGAGTCAGAGCACAGCCCAGGACTGGGAGGGGCGGAGCCAGAGCACAGCCCAGGACTGGGAGGGGCGGAGTCAGAGCACACAGCCCCAGGACTGGGAGGGGCGGAGCCAGAGCACAGCCCAGGACTGGGAGGGGCGGAGCCAGAGCACAGCCCCAGGGAGACAGGGGAGGGGGCGGAGCCAGAGCACAGCCCAGGACTGGGAGGGGCGGAGCCAGAGCACAGCCCAGGACTGGGAGGGGCGGAGCCAGAGCACAGCCCAGGACTGGGAGGGGCGGAGCCAGAGCACAGCCCAGGACTGGGAGGGGCGGAGTCAGAGCACAGCCCCAGGGAGACAGGGGAGGGGGCGGGGTCAGAGCACAGCCCAGGACTGGGAGGGGCGGAGTCAGAGCACACAGCCCAGGACTGGGAGGGGCGGAGTCAGAGCACAGCCCAGGACTGGGAGGGGCGGAGCCAGAGCACAGCCCCAGGGAGACAGGGGAGGGGGCGGAGCCAGAGCACAGCCCAGGACTGGGAGGGGCGGAGCCAGAGCACAGCCCCAGGACTGGGAGGGGCGGAGCCAGAGCACAGCCCAGGACTGGGAGGGGCGGAGTCAGAGCACACAGCCCAGGACTGGGAGGGGCGGAGCCAGAGCACAGCCCAGGACTGGGAGGGGCGGAGTCAGAGCACAGCCCAGGACTGGGAGGGGCGGAGCCAGAGCACAGCCCAGGACTGGGAGGGGGCGGAGCCAGAGCACAGCCCAGGACTGGGAGGGGCGGAGCCAGAGCACAGCCCAGGACTGGGAGGGGCGGGGCCAGAGCACAGCCCCAGGGAGACAGGGGAGGGGGCGGAGCCAGAGCACAGCCCAGGACTGGGAGGGGCGGAGCCAGAGCACAGCCCAGGACTGGGAGGGGCGGAGCCAGAGCACAGCCCAGGACTGGGAGGGGCGGGGTCAGAGCACAGCCCCAGGACTGGGAGGGGCGGAGCCAGAGCACAGCCCCAGGACTGGGAGGGGCGGAGCCAGAGCACAGCCCAGGACTGGGAGGGGCGGAGCCAGAGCACAGCCCAGGACTGGGAGGGGCGGAGCCAGAGCACAGCCCAGGACTGGGAGGGGCGGAGCCAGAGCACAGCCCCAGGACTGGGAGGGGCGGAGCCAGAGCACAGCCCAGGACTGGGAGGGGCGTGGCCAGAGCACAGCCCCAGGGAGACAGGGGAGGGGGCGGAGCCAGAGCACAGCCCAGGACTGGGAGGGGCGGAGCCAGAGCACAGCCCAGGACTGGGAGGGGCGGAGCCAGAGCACAGCCCAGGACTGGGAGGGGCGGGGCCAGAGCACAGCCCAGGACTGGGAGGGGCGGAGTCAGAGCACAGCCCAGGACTGGGAGGGGCGGGGCCAGAGCACAGCCCAGGACTGGGAGGGGCGGAGCCAGAGCACAGCCCAGGACTGGGAGGGGCGGAGCCAGAGCACAGCCCAGGACTGGGAGGGGCGGAGCCAGAGCACAGCCCAGGACTGGGAGGGGCGGAGCCAGAGCACAGCCCAGGACTGGGAGGGGCGGAGCCAGAGCACAGCCCAGGACTGGGAGGGGCGGAGCCAGAGCACAGCCCAGGACTGGGAGGGGCGGAGTCAGAGCACACAGCCCAGGACTGGGAGGGGCGGAGCCAGAGCACAGCCCAGGACTGGGAGGGGCGGAGCCAGAGCACAGCCCAGGACTGGGAGGGGCGGAGTCAGAGCACAGCCCAGGACTGGGAGGGGCGGAGCCAGAGCACAGCCCAGGACTGGGAGGGGCGGAGCCAGAGCACAGCCCAGGACTGGGAGGGGCGGAGCCAGAGCACAGCCCAGGACTGGGAGGGGCGGAGCCAGAGCACAGCCCCAGGGAGACAGGGGAGGAGGCGGAGCCAGAGCACAGCCCAGGACTGGGAGGGGCGGGGCCAGAGCACAGCCCAGGACTGGGAGGGGCGGGGCCAGAGCACAGCCCAGGACTGGGAGGGGCGGAGCCAGAGCACAGCCCCAGGACTGGGAGGGGCGGGGCCAGAGCACAGCCCCAGGGCTGGGAGGGGCGGGGCCAGAGCACAGCCCAGGACTGGGAGGGGCGGGGCCAGAGCACAGCCCCAGGGCTGGGAGGGGCGGAGCCAGAGCACAGCCCCAGGGCTGGGAGGGGGCGGAGCCAGAGCATAGCCCCAGGACTGGGAGGGGCGGGGCCAGAGCACAGCCCCAGGGCTGGGAGGGGCGGAGCCAGAGCACAGCCCCAGGGCTGGGAGGGGCGGGGCCAGAGCACAGCCCAGGACTGGGAGGGGCGGGGCCAGAGCACAGCTCCAGGGCTGGGAGGGGCGGAGCCAGAGCACAGCCCCAGGGCTGGGAGGGGCGGAGCCAGAGCACAGCCCCAGGGCTGGGAGGGGGCGGAGCCAGAGCATAGCCCCAGGACTGGGAGGGGCGGGGCCAGAGCACAGCCCCAGGGCTGGGAGGGGCGGAGCCAGAGCACAGCCCCAGGGCTTGTCCCTCAGGGGACCCTGGAGGCTGAAGCCACTTATTTCCTTGCTGGTTTTCCCTCCTGTATCGCCTTGTCCACCCTGCCCAGGTAGCGCAGATGCTGACCCCTAGAGCTCCTGGTTGGGGGCAGCGTGGCCTCTCCCAAGGGTGCCGTTCATCGTGGTGCCCCGCCCCCACGCATCCGGTCCGAGCGTCACTCTCCGCTCTGCTGACCGCTGACATGCTTTCTCCCCCAACCCTTCATCCCGCCGGCCTCCCGCCCGAGTCTGGGTGCCCTTCCCTATGCTGTCCCCTGCCTTGGAGTTGGATCCTCCAAGGCGCCTGCAGCCTCCCTACTTTGAGAGTGCCACGAGGCCCTGCAAAGCCCGCCCTCTGTTCTCAGGGTCCTCAGCCAAGGGAGGCGAAGCCTCTGGTGCCCGAGCCCAGGCCAGCTTCCCTCCCCCCTCCCGGCACAGCAGGCTGACCGCGCCCGCCGCGACCACCGGTGGCACCGGAAGGACCTCAGAGTCCTTTCTGCTGCTGGCAGAGGTGCGCCTTCTGAGAACATGGTGCTAAAATGACAAGGCAGCGGCCTGACAGGTCCACCACGGCCCCAGGTTTGAGCCCCCCAGGAAGTGGCCTGTTCTGTCCTGGCGGCTCTGGGGGTGTCCAGGTTCTGTGCTCTAGGGGCGAGAGAGAGGTTCCTGCCCGCTGGAGCTCACGGCCCCGTGTGAGGCTCCTATCAGCACCAGGGTCCATCTCTATTTCCTCTGTGACTCGCGGCCTCCTCCCCTCCCCCCTTCTCTCTCCACTCGCCTCTGTTGTAGGCCCCAGCCTTTTTCTTTTTGTTTTTCCTCGCCAGTCCTGGGTCTTGAACTCAGGGCCTGGGCGTTGTCCCTGAGCTTCTTTGGCTCAAAGCTAGTGCTCTCCCACGTGAGGTGAGCCACAGCCCCACTTCCAGCTTTTTCTGCATATGTGGTACTGAGGACTTGAACCCAGGGCTTCATGCATGCTAGGCGAGCGCTCTACCACTGAGCCACCTTCCCAGCCTGGCCCCAGCCTTTTTCAACACACTTGTTTGCTTTCCTGCCCTGCCCTCCAGTGGTCATCTGTGGAGGCAGGGGTACTCTGAGACGCCACACTTTCCTAGCGTCTGGTGGATAAACAGCTGGGGGATGTACTCGGTTTCTAGAATTCTGTGTGGACATTTGGAATGATCCCAGATTTCCCAAAGAGACACTGCTGGCCACAGTTCACTGTTTTCATGTACGGTCCCAGTATGTATCTACATTTTCACGTGAGATGTAGGTGCTCGACTCACTGAGGACGTTACAGAGGTCACTCGGTGTTGGAGGACGTTACAGAGGTCACTCGGTGTTGGAGGACGTTACAGAGGTCACTCGGTGTTGGAGGACGTTACAGAGGTCACTCGGTGTCATGAGGACGTTACAGAGGTCACTCGGTGTCATGAGGATGTTACAGAGGTCACTCGGTGTTCAGAGTATTGGTGTTTATGGCTGTTCCTGCAGCAGACCCCAGTACTCCAGGGTAAAAGTCAAAATGGAGTCACTTTCATAAGTTCAGGTCCCCAGTGGGAGAGGGCTGCTTCTGTGACCTGAGGTCAGGGATTAGACACCGCAGCACTGTGATCTGTGACCTGTGGTCAGGGATTAGACACCCCAGCACTGTGATCTGTGACCTGTGGTCTGGGATTACACTGTGATCTGTGACCTGTGGTCTGGGATTACACTGTGATCTGTGACCTGAGGTCAGGGATTAGACACTGCAGTGCTGTGATCTGTGACCTGTGGTCAGGGATTAGACACCGCAGCACTGTGATCTGTGACCTGTGGTCTGGGATTACACTGTGATCTGTGACCTGTGGTCTGGGATTACACTGTGATCTGTGACCTGAGGTCAGGGGTTAGACACTGCAGTGCTGTGATCTGTGACCTGTGGTCAGGGATTAGACACCGCAGCACTGTGATCTGTGACCTGTG